TATTCTATCAGCTCTACCACTAGTTTTGTGAATATACATAAAATTCTGGGTATATTTAAAATACGAGTTCTTAAACTCCTTGCACTTAATTGACTAAAAGTCTAATAATAATAATAAATATTTATAATTATAAAATTACCAAATGAATGCAATTTAAAGTCATGATCGTATAGAAGAGAATTTACTATTTTATCTCAGAATAAACACAACATTATGTAATAATTTATTAATTTTAATGCAATAATAAATTCTCTAAATAACCAGAATATTTTTATTTATTTTCCTAATACTGGGCTTAAATGTCATTTAACATAAATAACAATATGACTCTACAGTGTATACCGTATATTATAATGTGTATTGGCTTAGAAAATGCAATACAGTTTTATTAAACAAGTTATTCATTGAATTAAAAATGTTTAGCAAAATTTATAAGAAAACGATCTGTCAGTACAACACTTAATGTTGAGTTTTATAAATGACTTTTTGTTTGGGAAATCAATTGAAAGCAATGTCTCCAGAATGGCTCAGCTATGGCTCGTCTATGGCTCGGATGAGTTGAGTCTGACGCTGCACTTTACCACTTGCTATACAACCGATAGTTTGGCAAACATTTGACCGATATTTCACTGAATTGTAGATATATTTTTTGAAACATAAGACAAACTCATCACAAAGTCTAAGAATTTTTGAAAGAATATATGAATCAAAACAATAAAAGCGAATCAAATTCTTTGACAGATTTCAAGAGTTGAATGAAACTTTTCGCCACTAAATTACTATCATATCTATCACTACTATATTTATGTCCGGCTTTTCTCTCTCTCTCTCTCTCTCTCTCTCTCTCTCTCATTTCAACTCAAATGAACAATATTTTCAATAAAGAAAATGGATTTTTGTTTCAATTGATTCCGTAATACAATATATTTTTGACACAAATATTTTTATATTGCGAGAGAGAGAGAGAGAGAGAGAGAGAGAGAGAGTAAATTGGGTTAAAGAATTAGTCTAATAATCTACAAGATATTAATTTAATAAATAATGGATCGAAACAACAATGAGTTTGCTCTTTGTTTTTTCTCTCAAAATCATAACTGGATTACAAAACATTAATTTGGATTTATTTTAAATTTCAAAATATGAACTTTATATATTTAATTTATCCATTAATAAATAGATTAAAACTTTATATTAAAATCATATCATGATTATAAATATCACTTGTTTTTATTTTACTTTAAACAATTATCAAATATACTGTGTTTGAAATTAAAATATAGTTTCAATTATGGATACATGAGTTGCAACTTCAGAATAATAAATTTACTATTATTTCATACATTGAATTTATTTCATTAATATTTGGTTCATTTATTGTCATAATTTAGTTTAAATTATCCTAATTCTTGTCCTAAATTTTCTTTATTAGAATTGTAACAGAATCTCAAATTTATTGATTACAATCCACCCCCACATCAAAAGACATCACAATTTATGAATCCCTCCCACGAATAATGACCTCATTATATACGGAGTCCACAAAAATACCAGTCAACTAAAGCAATGTTTAACTATTGACTTACTTCTTGCATAAACTTTTATCTAAATTTGATGCCAATCATAGCAAATGCCTTACTTTCCGAGTAGTAATTTTATTTGCATTGAGTTTTTACAAGTTCTTACATTAAATGCAAAAATGTAATTTTAGACACATTTTATCCATTTGTATTCATTATAAATATTCTAAGACCTATTAATTTAATAATAGAAAAAACACATCATATCTAATGTTACATAATAGTAGTAAAGTGTGACAAAAATTACAATAATAGCTGAATTCATTGATAATTTGCGTTTATATTTTGTATGTTTTGAGTATATTTATAAAATTTTATCATTTTATAAATTGATAAGTTTTAAAATATTAAAATAGTTTGGATGAAGAAATATATAAACAATTCTTATTTTAATATTTTATAAATATTTTCCTTTTTTGATCCATTTTTGTCTGTGTCTTAAACTATATTTTATACCCTAAGTCTACACCAGACTTACTGTAATATTTTCATTATTGGCTTACGACATAACATAACGTATAAGAATGCTTAACGATATAAAATAACGTCTTATATTTTAATCAATCAAGATTACCTAATTATGCACATTTATTAATTATATAATTTAATAATATTGCAAACTTAATACTCTATCATAACATCCATGGATTTATAGTCCAAATGTTTGTGCCCTACTTTAGGCCATTATCTCGTAAACAAACGCTACAATTATGACACAATTTAATTCTGTGTTTATTTTATAATTTGAAATAAATAAAAACATATTTCAAAATACAAACTCTTGTATTGTGTGTCCGAGAAATGTGTTTAAGTTGTTTCTGTCTTTTCGTTTCATGACTGCTATTAATACAGAATTCTTTGTAAGCTTTTAATGACCAGTGAATGACAGGTTGTTTGAGTCAAGAATTTGTTGCAACACAACCTCAATATTAGCCTTTCAATGAATGAACGACAGAGAGAGAGAGAGAGAGAGAGAGAGAGAGAGAGAGAGAGGGTATTATTTGACACAAACACAGCAGTCGTGTCACGCATTTCCAGACCCTTGAACTAAATCCATTTGAGAGAAGACTTATTCACACAAAGACATTGAAACCAATGTTTTTTACCATTCAATATACCTCTGGATTTAATAAATACTTAAGAGTTTGCGTTTCGTTTCCAAAACTGAAATATTGTTTTATTATTTTCTGTCCCTTTGAATGTCAAGCCCTATGAGTGCAGTGAAACTTATTTTTCTCATTCAATTGTTCACTCATTCAATCGGTTAACAATTAAATGAACTCTAAATGCCTGTAATGTGAATGAATTGCTGAACAAGTTTGATAAACTTGTTGTATAAATAAATATTAATTATTAAATCGCAGCTAAAATGAGACGATTGTGTCTTAACTTATGTTAAGATAATTCTTAAAGATTTATTATTTTCGCACTAAAAGCACACTTTTGTTACATTTATAGTTTTGCATGCATTACACTGTTATGTAATATGCAATCTAATTGCGATATAAAGTAAAATTTACTATAATTTGTGTATAATCTGTGCTTAACTTTCTAGTAATCGGACAAATAGAGGGAATGTAAGACTTCTTAACAATAATTACTAATTCAAATGCATTAGAAAATATGGTAAACCTTATCGTAAAGTTTGTGTTAATCCTTATAATTTATTGTCAATGCAAAGACCTTTACTATGGATTAACTTTATAAATGCATGCTATTAAAATTCATTTTAATATGGTTAAAAATATATTATTCTGTTATAAATTAAGATATATCAAGGTACTAAAATCTTAATAACTGTTTAATCTAGATGAAAATGGTAATTTCACAGTTATTTGATAGAAATATTGTTAGAGAGTTATTATAAAGAGTTTCATAAATTGTTGACATTTAAATGATGTTTATCTAAACACAATTATATGACCGGTCAATAATATATTGCTCCTCACAATTATTTGAAGTGTAATCTATTGTGTTTGAGATGTTATTATATAATAATTGTTATTATCATTACTCGTATGTATTGGTTATCAATAATAAACATCATTAATAGTCTATAGATATGTATTCAACAGAAGGAAATCTTAATAATGAAACCGACAAAAGGTTTTTAACCCCTCATATGAGCAGTATTTTTGGGCAAAAATAACAATAATCTCGCATACAATGAGAGCACTTGGAGGTTAGTAACACCTATACATTGTTTTTAAAACTTTATATTTAAATATTCATACCATGAGAAATGTTTTAATAAAACACTTTGTGCATACTTTTTGACAACTTTTCATTTATTTATCTCAATTCTTAAATTAAAGAATATATTTATGAATTATGCAAATATTTGTCAAAACCTGATTAGTATATTATATAATAGTTTTAGTTTATAGTATAAAGTTTAGTGTAGTATAAATATTATTATTATATTCAGTGTGTAAATTGCTATATAATGTGCATTCAATTTATTTTGTTTAAATAACTCCTACACTGAGGACTGGAATCCTTTCAAATGGATATAATTTATGGGTTTATAAAGAAATTTTAATATATCTAATCATAACATACAGTATAACACCTCTTAAATATATATATCAACAGCTCATCTGTCTTTCACATCACTATTTCATCAAATAATATATATTTATAGTTATATCACACGTTATAAATAATTTATAGTCAAAACCGAGACAAACAGTTCCCACCAATAGATCATTAAACTCTCGTTTTTGTTTGTTTACAAATTCATCCTTATTTTAAACCAAATAACAAACATTTTGATGTTTTCTATAATAACTGGGATTCTACCTAGATAAATTTATTCATCTACAGTATTAAACATTTAATTCAATTAAATATACTGTAGTTAGACAACTGATTTTGTCAATTTTATTTTGCATATAAGATCTTCATTATTTGTTTATGTAATAATAATTCTTTGGTGTATTTATAAAATAAACAGTTATTAACATATAATTAACAAAAATTATATTAACTTTTAAAATAAACAAATAATTAGCGGATTCTTAACATTAGTATCAATAAACAACTTAATCACTCGATTCTGTGATTTTATGAAATCATAAACTAAGGACTATAACGGCATCTATGATCACAAATGTATACAAACTTATGCATTAATAGACCATTAAATAGACCATATTGTTATTGACGTCAAATACAATATCATATATTCTGTAAATTCTTACATAAAGTAAATGTTTGTTTTTGAAATAATGAGAAAAATTTTATAATTAACTGTCATTTTCTAGAGAAATATCGATAAAATGAGACCAATTCTCAGCAATAAGACTACTTTCTCCTAAAACTAATTCAATATTTATTTCGTTGAATATTTAGTAATTTTGTAATATTTGTAAACGGATTTCAATGTTAATTAATTTACAATAAATTATTTAACAACAAACAATGTGTATGTTTATAAAGGTTGTCTTTGCGGTCATATTACCACCGGTGGCGGTGCTGTTGGACAGGGGCTGTAATCTGGACTTCGTGTTGAACCTAATCCTAACGTGCATTGCATGGTTTCCCGGCATAATTCACGCCCTGTTTGTCATTTGCCGCAAGAATGCAGAGCAGCAACACATCCATCACATCCACACCACTCGCGAGATCATCGTTACGACTGAGCCTCAGATGATGGCCAACGCCTCGCAGGCCGTCGTGTATACAGCTGTGCCCCCACACCAACCCCCGCCTCCCTATGACTTTCATGCCAAGCCATCGGCGCCCCCTTATTCGTCGTGACCTCCATATAAAACTCAAATTCAAATGTGATAATTATATTTTTGCTAAATACTGATCATATAATCATAAAACTATTGATTATATAATTCTAAAAATACTCAATTACTTTTACGATCAATGAATTTTCACTTACAAAATGAAAGTTATTTAACATTTCTTAAATTTAATATATTTTTACTTGATTTCATATTGTAATTAAAATTTTATATTACCTTATACTGTATATTTAGTTAATTGATTTATAGTTAATTTGAAAATTAATTAATTTAATTTGATATTTTAATGTTTGAAATAATAATTGACTGCTTTTTAACCTAAAAAATATTTTAATTGTAACTAAAATAAATAATAAAATGTTTGCTTCAATTAAAATGCTTCAATAATAAAACAAAACAGTTTTAAATTCATTGACAGATGTTTTATTCTTATAATTAATTTTTAATTACAATTCAATTGTTTTATCAGAATTTAGATTTTCTTGATATTGTATTAAAATTTTAAATTATCAATAATTAATTTATTTAAAATCTTAAATTATTATTATTATTAATTATTAATACTTTTTAAGCAAAATTCTAGAATTTCACCCAAAAAATTTATCAGACAATAAATTTTTAAAATAATAATTTTCAAAATATTAATAATAATAATAGTAATAATTATAATATAATATTTAACAAATATTGACAATAAAATAACATCTCAATTACGAAATAATGGGTTTTACTTTTTATAAACCACTGTTTTTAAATTTTACCATTTGTTTTACGTTTGATATAAATTTACAGATTTTCTCATTTGGTTTTATATATAACCATAAATTTAGATATTTTATAATAATAATAATAATTAGTGAATAATAAATATTGATTATTATCTTAATATCTGGAGATAATTAAGAACCTAATAATTTATTAGTAATAATCAATGTTTATGTTTATATATTTAATAAATGTTTAAAATGTTGAGATCCATGTGTTTCGCTGCCCTCCACCTGAGCCCTCAATGAGGAACAGGTCTTTTTGAGGGGAACTAAATCGGGAATTAATTTCCATTTAATATATAACTAAAACAAGTAATGATTTACACATAATTTACAATTAATATTGGAAATCAATGTTAGGATTAAAAATACAAGAGGTTTCTTAAACATTGGATTTAAAACTCGGAATATAAAGTGCTTTTACGTGAGGTTTTTGTATTCAGCATAAGATTGTAATCATATTTACAATTCTATATTAATTTTTGAATTAGTTTATAGTTTTAGAGGTTTGAAAACAATTTATAATATATTTGTAAATAATTTTTAAATAAATATATCTTTGGTTAGAGACTAAATGATTTTATATTCTGTTTTAGTTTTAAATATTGTTTAAAAACATACTATTTTACCAAAACATAGACAATCTGTTAATTTCAATCATGTGTGTTTTCAAACTTGACATTCATTTGTAATATTCTGGTGAGCCTACTGTTTAAACATAACACCAATATATCTCTCATATTGTAAATTACTTATTAATTGAATAGTTTTTGTTTTAGATTAATATAATTTCATTTGTTTGCTTAAGATATGGGAATGTATGGCATGTATGGCACTCACAATTTCACGGTTTCCTCTGTTAAAACACTCAGCAATTAATAACAAATTAATTTTACTCATTATTTATGGCAACAATGTTTGATAGGATCTAAAATATCATATAATAGTGTTTACGAACAAACTTTTGGTCTATATTTTAAAAGGAATTGCATTTTAGAGATGTATTGATATTTAACTATTGAATTATAACAATGTTTTGTGCAATTTTTTCATGTTTACCAGTATTTTGTAATTTACATAATATTCACAAAAATAATTAAACCAATCACTTATCAAATACAAACTCATACAAAATAAGCACAAAATAACACTTTAAATACAATATTGAAGTATTAAATACTCTAACTATTCTATGAGGTCTCATCAGTAAACCATTTCAGACTCAGATTTTAAAAATCTATTCAAAAAAATCAAACATAAAATATCATATCATATGTAAAGGATATTATAATATGGGGTATAAGTATAATCATTAGGAATATGTTGTTTAACATGTTGTCATTAAACCCAAATGGTTTCAAATAATTATATTGTATATATTCTGTATAATCACATGTCGATAATAAGATTAATACTTTTGAAACGATACAATAAAAGTTGTTTTAGCAAAACACAAGTAATTACTCGACGATTTAAAAACACAATAATAATAAAAAGTTTTCTCGTAAAATATTTGAAGTATGAATTGAAAAAAGTTTTTAATATATATTTTTTTCTTCGTCTCTGATCTCTAGTTTTCTTTGCCGCCGCTGTCTTCCGGATCCTTTAGGGAATGCCACTGAGCTATAGGTCTTCGGGGCGACGCCAACATATCCATCCAGTGTCTCAATTCAGTGCCCGACGCGTTACAGCCCAACACAGCCTGTCGTCAGGAGCGGACAAAAAGCATTTTATAGTATATTTTATTATTTTATGTAATTAACTATTATGTCATTAGAAATTATTTTAATCACTTTCAGTCATTATACGGACACTTTCCGATATAATTAGATATTTACTCAAATAAACAACTTTTACTTATATCTCTATTCCGATCCATAATTAAGTGAACTTTTAACCTAATTTCCGTTCAATATTTAAATATATATCAAATTAATTAATAATGTAAATTATACTCAAATTTAATGATAAAATAAAGTTGGTTAGAATCACAAAAATATTCATAATATTAATATTGATTCAATTGTAATGACAGTACTTATATAACGATTCAATATATGCTTACATATAACTTTAATAGTCTCTATGATTATATACTAACAATCAAATTATAAATAATTAGTCGCAAATTACATTAAAACTTGTATTATACTATAGTTTTAGTTTCATTAATGTTTAAAAGATATAATAAAATAATAAATTGAATAGAAATAGGAGAAAGAGAGAACAGAGGGGACAGAGAGGATGTAATTAATGAAGCGATGCTTACTTTCCCGATGGGTTCGGAAGTGCCGATGCGGTCGTAGTCGACGACAGTGACGACGAGAACCACTTTTTGGATTTGTTCAAACGGTATCTCAAATGTAAACGATTCGTTATAATAAGGATTAAGTGTACACTTCTTTATCGATGTTTTCTTCTTCTTCAGTCGCTTTCCTGAAGAGGTTTTAATTAACGCCAAAAGAAAACAGAGAAAACAAATATTAGAAATTCATTTTCTTAGTATCATTTGCTTTCAAATCTGGGTTATATTAAAGTAACACTTATTAAATCTTAAACCAATAAATGATTTTTTTGATAATATATAACAATTTTTTGTTATTTATCAAAATGTAGCGAAAGTTTTATTTATGTTTATCTCGTATTACTTTTGTTTAAATAAATGATTGAAAATAGTTGCGAGAGATTAAGACTTTTGTCTTATATTCACAGATCCTAATAATGATTATTTAATAATTAATGAATTTTATTTCTATGTATTTCTACATTATGTGAATTTAATATCAAAGTTCATAAGAAGTACATTACATTTGTATGTATTCTCGTCTAAAACTAATTTCCATAAGTCTTAGACTGTTTTTATAATTTCATAAAACATTATGTTATAAATTCATAAGATTTGTAAGGATTTTCTGAATTAAATTCGAGATGAAAAATATTTTTTGTTTGGTGCAGACATTAAGACTCTACAGTCAAACCTCTGTTTAATAATTAAAGAACCCATAAGAAATTACAAGACATTATATAAGGCTTTATTTCATATATTCATTTCACTACTTATTTTAGTAATTAGATATTTAATTAAGTCACCAGAAATAAACACAATGATCATGCTCAAATGAGATGGTATTTTAGGTGCTC